GTCTGTCATTCTGTCATTTTTCGGATTTAATTTTAGTAGATCATTATGGCAAAATGAGCATTCGCTGTGAATGAACATGCTCTATGAGCATTTCATCTAAAAAATTCCAGACTTCGAGCAATAGAGGAGCATTTAAATCAGGAGCGTCGAGATATGCAGAAGGCGGTGGCATCCAACATGCGAATGATGGAGAGTCAGGAGCGCTGCATCAATGAGTTGATTGAGGAGATTAATCGTTTACAGATTCTTCGAGGTGCTGCCACCGCCAACACAAATCCTCCTGCCCCTCCACCTCCAACATCGACCACGGCAACGAACCGCCGAAACGATCTTCACGGATCAACATCGTCTTCGCAAAAGCCACGGTCGTCATCGAACTCGTGGTGGTGATATCAGAGATCTCTTTTAACACTGAGCGCCTATCTCCTGTGCCCCAGCCCCAGTGGTATCCTCTCCCTTTGTCAGTCTGTCTGACTACCCGCTTGTCTGTACAGGTTTTTTTTCCCGATAAAGGTGACCCAGATTTGTCCTCATGACTGCTCGTCCTACTTCACTCTTTCAAATACCCGCCCTCTACTACTGACTAATTTCCCTATCCCGTGAGAAACCAAAAAGAATATGGTTGTATTTCAATATTTTTGGGAGTGTTACATGCTGGATGTGGGTATTGTGACAGAAAGGAGTGATTCGAAATAGACGAACGGAACTTCTAGACTAACCGGAAGACTGGACCAGCGACCACCTCGGTGAGCATAGACGAGGCCGGATGTGTCAGTAACTCCTCCAGTAATTTTACAATCTAATAACAAGAGTGGTGTCTAAATTCTGTATGCCTTGAATGTGAAAAAGTGTCCATCTGAATTGGTTGCAATGCGAATAAGCAAGGCTGAAGTATATTTTTTTTTTTTGGTTTAATAAGCTTAATTAACTTCATCTTGGAATAGTTCCTGGACCTCTGGAATAAACCAACTTCTTTATCACCAATATACATTCAAATTTACTCTCTTCTCAAATGATTTCAGTAAAGTAGTTTGCAAAGGGTCTACTTTATCAAAAGTTTGCAGCAAAAAACTGCTTTCCAAAAAGTGAACCAGCATTGAAGGAGCCATAAGCTTAAGGGTAGAGCATGACCCGAGGTTATGACATCTAAGGAATAATTTCCAATCTGCACACCGTCAACGCAGAAATTTAAAGACAAAAGTAGGTTGATTAATAATAACAGATACTATGGAAGTGGTAAAAAAGGGTCAAAAAAAGAAAAGAGTAAACCCGGTAACTAATTCATTCCATATAATTAATTATTCAAGTGTTAGTTCTTGCATTGCAAATTAAGTCCTTCATTAATTCATTCACATGTTGGTTCATTCAGTCACTCAATTAACTAGTCCATCCACTTGAAATTTCAATCAAGAATTACCGATATAAGTAAACTTTTTCTACTTATGAATTACACACACATTTATCATAAATCCGCATTTGAATCCAGAATAACAAAAAAAATGCCTACATACATTAGAAGGATAGCAAAATAAGTCGTAGAGCTAAACCACCATATTAGCATGTGCTGACTCCCTAAAGATATCCAAAATAAATTTATTAAATTGAATATTGATGGGGAAGCCTGAGCTCAAAAAGTCATTTATTTGTAAAAAAACAAAGACAAATTTGCTCAAGCTGTTTGAAGGTAATATTAAAACACATTACGAAGTTCAAATAAATAACACGCTACATTCATTTATAAA